GCATAATAGGTCACACCCAACAGCAGAAACTCATTAGCATATTAGGCCACACTCCTGACAGCACAGCTCATTAGCATATTAGGCCACAACCCCATAGTTAGTTACCAGAAGTGTGCTCATCCAGCCACACCCACCTTTTGCTCCTTATTCTGTTTACCTTGTCTGTTGTCAAAACCCAGGGCTTTTTTTGTAGCGGGAACTCCTTTGCATGTTAGGCCACACACCTCTAATGTAGCCAATCCTAATGAGTTTCTGCTGTTGGGTGTGGCCTATTATGTTAATGAGTTCCTGCTGGGTGTGGCCAACTCTGGAGCCAGCCGGAACTCCGTTCCTGTGTGTTCCTGCCCCAAAATAGCCCTGTTTAGAATGAAGACATACACAGAGAGAGAAAAAGCAGACAGAGTGCTACATTGTGCATTGGAGAAAAGATACATACACAGAGAGAAAGGGATTTACTTTATGTTCCAGTGACTCTGGAGAGGGAGTTGAAACTTGGAAGAATCACCATTAGCCAACCCTAAGAAAACATATTCTCAAATGTAAAAAATAGTGACAGTTGGAGACGTACCACACTTTCCAACCACTACAGCAAGTTGCCTCTCGATAGACAGCCCTGCTGCAACAGGAAGGTAATGATTTGCCAGAGGTCCTCTTTGAATATGAGCTAAGTGGCAATTCCAGCACAGGTCTCTGAGCACAGCCTGCCTCTCTAATATAGGCTTCTGGTATTAGGGAAGCTGCAACAGACCCAGTTCCCAGGCTTGACAAGTAAAAGGCCAGCTTCCTAAATTATGCACAAGATGACAGTATGGGGGGGTGGAATTGAGTATGTTTGCTGTTCAGTGTCTGAGATTGCTTCATGGGGCATTCCCATGACACAAGTGTTGCATGTGTGCAGAACAGCCCCGCCCTTTTGCATAGCTGCCCCAGACTGTGCTTCATTAGGCAAATAAACTTGGGTTGGCAGCTTCCACAGGATCCTCCGCAGTTCAGCACCAAGGCTGCAAAACTCACTTGAAAATGTGCAGCACTCTT